CCTGCAAAAATCAATGAGGACCTTTTCTGAACGCGTGCTGTCCTGGGATGTGAAATTGCTGCCACCTTAAAATTTAAAAAAAATTTTTAAATTTAAAAAACTTTAAAAGAACCTTGAAAATTGGAAATCAACACGGGGTTTTTCCCAGTTTCAGAAATTTGATTTACTACCAAGTTGTGGATTGCGGCGAAACAGGGGGTTTTTTAGGGCTGCTGTCCCCGGGTTTTTTTTTTCCTTTTTACAAAAAAAAATAAAAACATGTGATAATTTCTTTTTTAAATTCTTTACGCATTTAAAGGGAACCCGCGAGTCTGGGTTTGGGGAAAGGGTGATGGGCGTGCAATCATGGTTTTTCCAAAGGTAAATTTTTGGGTTTTGTAAATCGAGAGAGACCGGAGATTTCTACAGTGCTGCTTTATGTTCACCAAGAACTATTCGGGAGCTCAACTCGGGTTTAAAATTCCCGCTGGCGGTCTGTACGGGAAAACTAAAAAATTTTTTCCCCCTCATGCCCCACTTTAAAGGGAAAGGCGGTACCCACTTGTAAGCCACTAAGAAAAAGTGTAAGTGACTTGGTCTGTGTGATTTTTAAACAAAAACGTTTGGGTTGTCGTTTTTATTTTAGAGAAAAATCTGGCAGGGGTTTTCTTTTACGGAGGTATAATATACCGCCAAGAGTAAAACCCGGGGGGCGGTGTTCCCCTCAAGAGTATAGACAAAAAAATTTTTTGTATAAAAACGAGAAAAAGGGACTGACTTTGAAGCCGGGGGTGATGGGTTACTTGTCTCTAGGATAATTACTGTCGACAGGTGCTCTTGATGTCTTCACACACTTTTCCCCTCCCCCCCTATATTTTAAAAAACACAGCAAGACGACATCACACGGGCGGGAAAAAATGAAAAGAGGGGATAATGAAACTTTAAGGACGAGGAAATAATGCCTTAATAGTGATAAAATTAAAATTTATTTTTTGTGCTCTCTCGCTTAGAGTTTTTGTTCAGTTTTTTGACGACATCGTTCGGGTCGGGAAAGGATTTTCACAGTTGGTACAAAAACAGAGATCATTTACGCCCAAATTTAAGGGCCAAAAAACATTTAAATGATCAGAAACCCCTTAGTTTAAGAAAAAGATAATTTAAGATAAGAAAAAGATTTCGTTCGGTTTTTTAACCCCGGAGGGTTTGCCCCCCAGGATAACCCAAGAAAGTCAGTTGGGGCAAACGAGGATGTCTAACCTTTTTCCATGGGGTCCTTTTTCTTTTCCCCCAGGATGCCGGGCCCACACCAGTCGAAAATAACAACCCCGGTTTTCCTATTTTCTGCCCAGGTGAACAGGACAAAATTTTAAAAAAACGTGTCGAAATGTTTCCACCCACCCGGGGGGCCCGGGGGGGTTTAGCCCCCAGGCCACCGGGGGCCAAAATGGTAACCCAAATATGTTAAAAAATAAATATGTATCACCCGGAAACAGAGGAGAGGAGATACATGAAAATACTCAGGGCCTTGTTCCAATATCTGCACACTGCCATAACAACTTTTTGGGGGTGAGGGCATATTGGGGAGGAAGTGCAAAATAAACCCAGTAAAAGCAAGGCCCCCCCCCCGCCCACCACCCTGCCCCCACCCTGCCCACCACCCTGGGCCCCCCGCCCTGCAACCCCTCCGGGCCCCCCCCCCTGCCCCCCCCACCCTGCCCCCCAAACCCCCCCCACCCCCCAGCCCACCACCCGCCCCCCCAACCCCCCCCACCGTCATGCCAACCGTCTGCCCCCCGCCCTGCCCCCCACCCCTCCCCCCTGCCCCCCCACCCCGCCCACCACCCTGGGGGCCCCCCGCCCCCCCCCGCCCCCCCCCCCCCCCTTTCCCACCACCCTGCCCACCACCCTGCCCCCCCACCCGCCCCCCACCCTGCCCACCACCCTGCACACCCCCTTTCCCACCACCCCGCCCCCACCCCTGCCCAACCCGCCATGCCCCCAAACCCTCCTTTCCCACCGCCCCGGTGCCATTCCCGGCGTTCCACGACTGGGGTCCATTGCTGGTTTCGCCCCTGTTTTGCCCTTTTAGGGACTGTAACTTTTTTGTGCCACTACAGTTTTTGGGAAATGCCAGCTACCAAAGGCACCTTCTATCAAGATGAGGAAATGAAAAAAACCCTTTAAGAGAGGGAGAGAGAGAGAGAGAGAGAGAGAGAAAGGGGGAAAGAAAAGAGAAAAGGGGAAAAAGAGAAAAAGAGAGAGAGAGAGAGAGAGGAGGGGAGGGGAAAAGAGAGGAGAGAAGAGAGAGAGAGAAAAGAGAAGAGAAGAGAGAGGGGGAGAGGGGGAGAGAGAGAAAAGAACACAAAAAGGGTCCTGCCCCATCAACAGAAACAATTTAAATTTCCATCACCCTGTGTTCCCGGGAAAGGGGAAGGGGGTAGGGTAGCAGGGGGAGGGCCCGGGTTTGCAGGGCCCGGGTCATGGTAGCCCGGGCCAGAGGCAGGGCCAAAGGGGAGCAGGGGGGAATTACCGGATACAGGGGCTGGCCAGGGGGAACAGGGGGATGGCCAGGGGCGCAAGGGGGGATGGCCAGGGTAAACAGGGGCATGGCCAGGGGTGCCCAAGGGGGATGGGCCGGGTAGGGAAGGGGGATGGCCATGGGTAGCATGGGCCCTGGGGCCCGGGAGCCGGGGAAAGGCCAGGGGTAGCAGGGGCATGGCCGGGGCGCAGGGGGATTGCCAGGGGGAGAAAGGGCATGGCCCGGGTAGCAGGGGCATGGCCCGGGGTAGCAGGGCATGGCCGGGGTACCGGGGCCCTACCCTGGGTACCAGGGGCATACCCCCGGGTTTGGGAGGGGTTTCAAACTCCCGGGTCCGCAAAAAGCAGATGATTTTTTTTATTAGCGAGGTCCCCCGAAACCCCCGCTCCTAAAACCCAGTAAATTTAAACCCTTTCGATCCGCGCCAGTATTGCCATAAACACCCAAAG